ATATCATTAGTAAAAAAAATCACTAAATGGTTGCATGACTTTTTTTTTATTGATATATTATGGAATTAGAAATCAGTAGATGTGGTTTTATTTTTTTGACTTTTGTTTAGTCTTTTTGGCTTTGGGAGACCTGGGTGTCTTCCGGACGCCGAACCTGGCGATAATGTAAGGTCTCAAGAAGTTGGTAATTGCTCGCAATGCCATTTTCTCTTTGAGTGCGTCCAATTTGTCATAAAACTCTCGCTTGAGGTAGCCCTTCTCTTCCAAATCCAACTGTTCCAAGTACTGTTCGCTCCAGGCAACATTTTCCTGTACACATGGTAATGTAAATTGGACGTTATAGTGTAAAAATGGCCTTAAATTGAACGTTTACAAAGCGCAAAGACCGTTGGATTAAGTTTGGTTAGGTTTGGGTTAGGTTTGGTTAGGTTTAGGTTAGGTTTGGTTAGGTTAGGTTTGGTTAGGTTTGGTTAGGTTAAATTAGGTTAGGTTAGGTTAGGTTTGGGAGTAGAATTAGGGTCAGGTTTAGGTTAGATGAGGTGTACCTTTAGTTTCTCGTAGGCCGTTTTCTTGTGTTCGATATTTTGCAGAAGACCCTTTTTTTCGTTATATCTCTTCAACATGTCATGGCCGTATCGACGATTTTGTGTCAGCAACGCCATTTCTTTTTTCTCGCTAATCAATATATTATAGTAAAACACAAGACAAGGTTGTACATTTTCAAAGTCAAACCCTAGTAAAATTTGTAATTTTTCCAACTACGGTAAAGAAATGCCTGATCCCTTAAAGTTTAACCGGAAAGTGCTTGAGAATTTGTTCTCGTCGGTTCTGTATGCATATACACATGACTTTTACAAATTATAAGTATATATTATTATAGTTTGTATATATTATGTAAAATGCAATTATCACTTAAAAGGTATCTTCTCAACTCCCTAACCTAGTCTAGGTAACCGCCTGTTTAAATGCAAGTCCCATTTAATTGAATGTTTTCAATTTTTTTTGAAATAAAATCAAAACAAAATTGTCAATTGTTCGAGTAGTTAGGAAACAACTCACACGTCTTTCTTGATGTTCTCGATTTCAACGTCGTTTTTCATTCTCATTAGATTTAATTCCGCTTGAGTTATTTCAATGTTATTTTCCAATGAACTCAGATCGTTTTCGAAATACTTCAAATAAAGTGTCAGCTCGTTTTGATTGTCATTCCTTTTTGTTATAATCATAAAACAATAAGTATAATATTATACCAAGTATTTTTTTCAAGGTGTAAAACGTGTCATACCTAACCTAACCTGACCTAAAGGACTTCTCAAATGAACACGATACTATGTAATGTTAAAGTCATCAAACAAAAAACTAGATCATGTATGAATGATCAACCGTCGTGTGACTTACTCGAATCTCCCGCGTTTGGTCTCGGCCGTCTTGATGGCATTTTCTATTTGAGATCTATAGTATTTGATCTTGTCAATTTTTGCTATGCGGTTCCTGACGTGCTTCTCTGCGGCTTGTTCCATCTGTCTGAGCACAGCTATTACACGTTGTTTGTACTTCTCGTTCTTCCTGTACTTGACGATCAGATCGTCTTCGCGCTTCCGTTGATCGTCCGCGTCCACTTTCATCCGGTCGCTGATCAATCGGAAAAACGTCTCGATCGCTTCGATCAATTCCCGGCCTTCCTGTCGCATCTGCCAACAAACGAGACACCCCACTCGAGTTAGCTACTCGTTCGGTCGCCACACTAAAGCCTATTGTCTGATGATCAAAGCTGCCACGGCCAAAGCAGTTTATTAAAGGGTGTCTCAAAAAAAAATGGCGGGGTTTCAAACGGTTTGGTTAGGTTAGGTTTGGTTTTAGGAAACACATAGAAAAGGCGGCAGCTAAGGCTAGTTCTACTGCATCCAACTTAGCTCGGATTATGCCTAACGTAGGAGGTGCTTCTCACAAGAAACGGAAGATATTTGGAGCTATAGTGTACAGCCAAACACTGTATGCCGCCCCTATATGGGCCCATGCAGTTGAATCTAACATAAACAAATCGACACTTCTAAAACCACAAAGAATAATAGCTCTTAGAATTGCTATGGGGTATAGAACGGTTTCCACACAAGCCATATTAGTGGTCGCCGGTATCATTCCTGCACATTTGATGGCACTGGAAAGACTTAAATTACACAAGGATAGGACTAAAAAAGATACACCAAGAGAAGAATCGTTCACAAAGTGGCAGGAAGAATGGAATGACGCGGAGACGGGCAGATGGACCAGGAGGATGATTCCAGACGTGAAAAAATGGGCAACGAGGAAACATGGAGAGATCAATTTTCACCTTACACAAATGCTCACCGGGCATGGTTGCTTCCGGGATTGTCTACACAGATTTAAGAGAACGACGGACCCCAGGTGCTTGGACTGCTCTGCTCCGAGAGACAATGCTGATCATGCAATCTTCCATTGCGATCGATGGTGGAGACAGAGACGGGACCTAGAGGCCAAGATGGAAAAGACACTGGAGCCAGAAGTAATGGTGGACCTGATGTTGAAGAACCGAGGCAACTGGAACGCAGTCGGACAGTTTGACAGTGGCATACTTACAAAGAGGGAAGAAGAGGAAAGAGCACGCCAGAAAGAAGAAAGATACATATTACTTTAGTTAATAATCTATTATAGGCCGAAGGCCACAGCAGGAGGGATAGAGCCCTCCAACTATTTTGTAAAAATATTGCTAAGTTGTAACAGTATTACATTTATTAATAAACGATGTGGATGTAGAGGGAAGGATGACCTATAAGGTAAAGTTCCCCTCTACAGCGCCACGATTATAACACACAAAAAAAAAAGGTTAGGTTTGGTTAGGTTTGGTTAGGTTAGGTTGGGTGTGAGGTATTGGACCTACAGCGCTCTGGTAGGGCTTGAATGAAAGAGGGAGTTGTCAAGTTTCGAATGACTGTCACTAAATGTTTCACAGTCAACAGGTTTCAAAAGGTCCACAACCTACAGCCGTTTGAAACCCCACCGTTCATTTTGAGACACCCTGTACTTAGGTTTCGAGAAGAATCACAGAAGAGAGCCTAGGCTCCTTAAAAAAAAAAATAATTGAAACACACTCCAAAAAGCAAGTTCTAGGTACCTACAGCTCTAGTCCCCAATTTTAACCCTAGGTAATGGGAAGATACTGTCTGCATATAGTACAACTGAATTTTGTACCCCTCTTGAAGCTTTCAAACACATTAGGTCTTGGCTATACCTGATGACCACCAGAGTGCTCTTTGCACGATTTTATCAGTTTTTCGTTTTGGACTGCGACCTTAAACGCTTGACACAAGCCAGCATAAAGCTCATTGGGCGTTTGACCGGCATTGGCTATGGCTGCAGCATCCAAAGAAGCATCGTCCATAAGACATTGTGTCTGTTCTTGTTCTTCAGCCTCCACGTTAGTGCTGTCGTCTTCGGCAAACGATTGTAAATTGTAAACGCCCAAGGCCGCAGGATCATCAACCGCATCCCAAAGTGACGGAAATTCTTGCAGACACGTTGGCAAACATAACTAATGAAGAAAACAAATATTTTTCCAAAATTTAGCCGTCCAACTTCTTAGTCAACAGTGCATTATGATATAAAACATAAAAATGGACTTTTAATATTACAATTATTGTACTTACTCTAAGTAGTTTAGAACATCCACATAATTAGCTAAAATTGTTTAAATTAATTTTACTGCAACCAGAAAGACTTTGTAAATTTTAATTTAATTTTAAGATGTTTGTTAATTATTTTATGCAACAATTCTTTGACAGTACATTCTTCGTTAATAATGGAAAATTTGTTGTATTAACATAATAATTGGCATGTTGTAAAAATACATTTTCAAAAAAAAATATTAATTTTTATCAATTTTGTAGTGTATGTTATACACCACCATCATGTTCTCTTGTACTACATTGAAAATATGTTATGTCAAGTATTTTTGTACCTACTGGTTTTGAACAGCTTTTATTTTCAAGTACCTATTTAATAGAGTATTTTCAAGACAAGTAGTACAAAATAATATTCTTATTCATATATGCATGTAGGTATCATAAATCAGGTGTCTGTACAAAGTAAATTTGTATTCATTAAATTTTGAATTTTTGGTTGGTGTTTAAAAGTATTTTAAACAATATTATGTAAAGTAGTAGTACTTGAATACTTTTTAAAAATTGGTTCAACAACACTGTAAAATTCAATAGGCAAAATTTACTCATTACCTATCAACCTACACTAATATTACAACACATAAATTAGTTTGTTTTTTGTTCTTTAAAATCTAATATATAAAATATCTAATATATGATAATTATACTTCTGTTTATTATCTTAGCAAGACCAATTGTAATACACTTATATTAGATAAAAGGATGGAACAAAATATGTTATAGTCGTATCCTACCGAAGTAAAATGAATTGTTTACTTAAACAAAAATAATGGCGGTAACTATGTATGGGAATATTATGGCATTTTTTTATTTACAAGATAAGTCCAAGATATCACCTTATAAACCTTCTTAATTTCAAATATTACAAGAAAAAAAATAATAACCGATACACGCAACCCCTTAATCGTAAAAAAAAAATAATAATAACAATACGCTTTAAGTTCTACGCTTACGGACAACAAGACGTTAAACTTGATTTCTTCTATTAGCGTGAAAAATCTATATCTGGACTCGAGAATTTTTCGATTCACTTCGGGCGAAATCTTCGTCTCGGCGTCCATGATGACTTACGCGGAGAATCTTAATTAATAAGTCGTCGTAATAATATTAATACAACGAACAAAAAGATTATTTACATACAACGAAACAGCAATAAGAAAACATAAGTTTATTTAAACAAACAAAAAAAAAACCCATAAATACATTTTAGCCAACAAAATGCAGATCATATAAATGCATCATATGGGCTTAACACGTAAAATATATTTTAAAATATATAAATGTACAAGTTTGAGTAACGCAAAGAAACGGTACTACTGAATTTTGTCGAGCCAATTCTTGACCGGTTCTAAAACAACGTCTTGAGAAGCCGACAGCGAAGATTCGGCGAATTCAACGGGAATTTGACAATGCGAAAACTCAAAACTCTTCTTCTTTTTGCCCAGTAAAGTCTTGTTGTTCTTTTTACCGTCGATGCTCTCCAACTGATTGGCTTTGGTGATCCTCAGCGTATCTCTGAAACGAACCACGACGACAACACACTTAAAATCGTTATATTAATTTCTTTAGAAAACAATTACAAGAGAGCGCATACAATTCTTTTTCGAGTAACGTCTTGATGACTTCCGAACCTTTGGCCATGAGTTTGTCTTGTTTATTACAAACGACTAATATTTTGCTTTTGTTCGAAACAATCGTGTCGTCGGTGATCACTCTGTACAACAGGCTAGCAATGCAAAAGACAGATTAGTTGAAATTTAAATCTCAAAAATTGTATTACACTTACTCTGCTACATCGCATACCGACGTCTGCACGTTTTCCGAATCGACGACGAAAATTATTCCTTTACAGCTCGTCTTGTAAACATCCCAAAATTTACCAAACGCTCGCTCGTGTCCGGGAATATCGACGACACGCAAAGATTTCTAAAAACAAAAATTATAATTGTCACAATTAAATCACGTTCTCAGAGGTCCGTTTACGTTCAATTGATAGTGTACCTTGCTGTTTTTGAATTCGCCAATGTTTTCCACCTGCGACGTGAAGGTCTGGACGGCCTTGTTGAACAGCAAGTGCGAATAGAGAGCGGTCTTGCCCGAATCGCACAAGCCGACGAGCAAAACGTCGCGGTAAGTCTTGTTACTCTTTTTCCACAAATACAACAACACTGAAATGTGATTAAATCAAAAAATATATCCACACAATAATCGTGGCTACAACAACATTGATCGATTGATTGATTGATTTAGTACAACAGCAGAACGGCTTACCCAGAGTGACAAATAGAACTGCCAAAGAAACGAACAGTTCTTTAGTCAGGAAGTTATCGTCTTCCGGTACTTTGGACGCGTTTACCGACATGTTGAATACACACACTTTACAAGTTTACCCGGTCAATACCTATTTTATAAAATAAAATAAAAAGGTAAACGTTGGAAGATTTCACTATTGCAGTCGACTCTGTTCTTATAATTATTGTTTATTGATAACTCTTATCACAATTCACGCGGCGTTACCGTTGTCGTCACCGATACGTGCGCCAACGTTATCACTTTTTGTTATCACTAAATAACAATCTTGCTGATAAAAAATACTAAATTGCTTGTAATACGAATACTACAAGAATTTTAAAATGGCAGTTGATTTTAACAACTGGTAAAATGTTATAATTAAATTTAAAACAATTATACCATTGCCTTGCTATACCGACTATTTACCGTCTTGTGGCCAAACCTAATTAAGGCGACGAAGTTTATGATGTACAGCTGCTGTCGAAAATTCAAACATGGAAAAATCTTGGTAGTAAAAATTACATTTTAAAATTGTCGTTTGAATCTCAGAAACTTTCAATAATAATCGATTTTTTACTTGTAACTTTGTAAATATTTAAATTCAAAGTCAATAGTCGTTTGGTTTTTAAAGACAAGTAGCGCAGAGATTTCCTATTAAACGATGTATATTAAATTAAACGAATAAATAATGTCTTAAAATATATCAAAAGAATAACGACAACAGTTTGGCAGAAAAATTAAAATCTTTACAACATTTATTATCGACTAGTTTTTCGTCTTCAACATGTTAATTAGTTAATAATTATTACTAATATTTTTTTTTTTTTTTCTATAGATACCACAATTTCCATTGGTGTTTGCAACACCGTGTTTTCTATATCTTCCCTTGGTAATAAACTAAAGATATGGAATGTCAATTGAAATTGTCAAAGTCTTGGACTGTATCGCGCAAACCAAGCCCGAAGCCAATACGCAAACAGTCAATGCCGACGTCCAACCTACCGACCAAGCCAACGGAGATGCCGCCAAACCCATGAACGCACGAACAGTGGCTTTAAATTGGTTATTTTTGCACATTATTCAGTCGTGTCGTTTGATTTCTTCAATTTGTTGACTGTGTCCATTAGCTTTTATATTCATCTATTGTAGTTACTTTTTTATATATACTTCCTGTTAATCCTTACTCTTTCTTGTCAATTTATTTCTCGGCACTTTCCGAAGCCAATCATTTTTAATACTGTATGTTTTTTTATGTTTATCTATTATGTAATGTATTTTGTTATTTCAATCACCAACAACGTCGGCCGCCAAACACTAGGCCCTCTGGCCAGTCTCAACCGTCGGGTACGATCAATGGTTTCGAATGCGTGCAAGAACCTCAAAGACAATCTGCTGTCCGGAATGCATGAAGGCCTAGGCAGTACGGTCCCATTCGAAGCCACAGACGTCAATGCGGCCGGCCGAGCAACAGGAACGCGGTGGCCCGCTTCCGCCAAACCACCACCGCCATCGTGGACGCCGAGTATGAAGCCAGGTTAACGGCCATCGCTATGAGCTTGAGAAGAAGGCACGGACATATCCGGCTTGTACCTCCAGACCTATTTTGATTCATATTATTATTATTGTCATTTGTTTCTTGTTGATTATTTTGTATAATTATTGTACTTGGCATTTTTACTATTTGTTAATTAATTTACTATATTATACAATCAAATGTTGCAAATTGTTTTATCGTAACTATCGACTTGTTTTGTATTGTTTTCATGTTTTCTTGTCTTATAAATCTTTATAAATCTTTGTGAATCTTTAATCAAAAATCAACTTTGCAATGGCTTTTGTGTACAATATTCTAAAATTTCACTGTGACTTGTTTTGTTTTATAAATCTTTATCTAATTAAAAATCAACTTTATCTCCAAAAGCAATGGCTCAACGGTTTCGAATGCGTGCAAGGCCCTCAAAGACAAACTGCTGTCCGGAATGCATGAAGGCCTAGGCTGTACGGTCCCATTCGAAGCCACAGACGTCAATGCGACCGGCCGAGCAGTGGCCCGCTTTGGCCAAACCACCACCATCGTGGACGCCGAGTATAAAGCCAGGTTAACGGCCATCGCTATGAGCTAGAGAAGAAGGCCCGGACACGTCCAACGATAAAGGATTTCACTATTTGGGGTTTTTACAAACCCTTGTGGCTTGTTCTTGTTTGATTATTGTACTTGGCATTTTTCCTATTTGTTAATTGTTTTTAAATCGTTTGTTACCATGTTATTCTGTGTAAATAAAAAAAAAAAATTTGTTAAATAAAATATTTTCCATTTCTTTATGATATGATTTATTTCTTTAGTATAAAACAGGATATTAAAAAAAAAAAAGACCATGTGTACAAAAATGTATACATACCTAGTAGTTTTCTGGAAATTTTTCACTGGATCCATGAAAAGTTTAATACATTTTGTTTTTTGTAAATAATCTAATGAGATACAACGCAGTAGTAATACTTACCTATTTTAACACGGATGTGTTGGCAAATCCTAAAAAAGTGTATATCTGATTCGACAGTACTGTCAAATTGTGATAAACCTAATCCCAGTATAACCTTAGATTTTCTATGCTATTATACAGCAAGCGCTTTCACAAACACAAAACATATATTATTAAATCAAATCCGAAGAAGAAATTCCGTTTTTGAGTATACTTTAGCTGAACCTTTATTATTTGTCTTTATTTAATCCATACACACATCAATCGGGCATTTATGGGTACAACGTATATTATGTCTAATATTTTAGCTGTAGAATTGGATTCAGAGTCATTGGCTTCTAGAAGGTTATATAACGACTTAGGTTTTATTCATAAATTAATAAATGGTAAATTATCCTGTCCAGAATTCCTAAGCAAAATAAACTTTAAAATTCCAACCTTTAATTTAAGAAATAATCGCCCGTTCTTAATACCACAATGCTACACAAACTTAATTAAATATAGTCCAGAGTATCGCATTTTAGATGCATGTGACAATGTACTTAATTTTGATTTTTCTTTTGATTCCCAAATTAAATTAAAAAATATTATATATTGAATAGTAATTAAGCTTACATGTGTTTATTGTGTATATATTTATTTGTTATTATTTCTATTTGTATATCTAATACCCAAGTTGTTGCTGTATATTCTTTTGTGAAACTTTTAATAACTGTACACGTTATCCATTTGGGGTGTTAAGACTTTAGATAAACAAACAAATATAATAATAATATGTCTGGCTACTATATTATACAATCAAATGTTGCAAATAAACTAACGGTCGTCACGACGGCCGTTGTTTTTTTGTAACTATTGACTTGTCTAAAATTGTACTGTGTATCGTTTTCATGTTTTATATTTCTCTTGTTCTCTTTATCAAAAATAACCTTTTCTCCTAAAGCAATGTCTTTTTTGTACAATATTTTGAAGAACGGGCTGTCAATTGGCATTATGAAAGTGTTAGATCGTATGGCACCCACCAAGTCCAAAGCCGACCAAGCCGGCGAAGATGCCGCGGACGTGCGACAGGCTCTGGATGGGTTGAATTTTGCATGCCAATTAATTATGGTCTTTGTTCATTTATATCGTTTTATTTCTAGTATAAGTGCACTTCGCAATTTATTATTTATTATTTTTTCTTGGTATTCCGCCCACGTTGACTGTGTCCGTTATTTTTTATATTCCTCCATTTTGGTAACTTTTTTATATTTCCTAATAATCCTATGTCTTTCTTGTAAATTTATTCCAAAGCCAATCATTTTTTATACTATATGTTTTTTAATGTTTTTCTTTTATGTAATGTATTTTTATATTCTCATATATTTAATTGCTCTTATTAGTTACGTTATTTTTTCCACCGCATTGGTCTGTTATCATTGTTACAAGCTGTTCTCACATTGTAAAAAATTGTTTCCCGTAAACGCCAACGACGTCGGCCGCCAGAAGTCAGGCTGTCTGGCCACCAGTCTGAACCGCTGGGCACGGTCAACTGTTGCCGGTGCGTACAACGCCATTATTGACGCACTTCTGTACGAAGCCACCTAGGTCAAACCACCGACCATCGAAGCCCATAGCGGCGGCGACGACGTTGCCAGCGGCCCGTCCCGGGAACCCGCCGAAACGCGACCGGCCCAAGAACCCGTACGTAGGACACCGATCGTGGCGGCCCGCTTCGGCCAAAGCACCGCCACGGGGAACGCCGAATACAGAGCCAGGGTCGCGAGGGTAAAGACCCTGAGGCCAAGAGCCTTAGAAGCAAGCAACCGTACCCGGACAAGCCCGTCGACAGAGGATTTTATTATTCCGGTTTCTAACGTACCCTTGTGGCTTGCACCTTCCCCCCCCCTTCCCCCATATTTGTTATTTTTACTGTAAATATTTATTTGATTCTACTTAATACTGTTGCCTTTTCTTGCATTTTCAACCTATCCGTTTAATTTACTGTAAATACTTTTGATCGTTAATGTTATTGTAATAATTTATTTTTTTAATAATTGTTTTGTAAAATTATTGTGTTTCCTATATTTTGTTTATATTGTTTTCAAATCGTTACCATGTTATGTTGTTGTGTGTAAATAAACAAATCATTTTTCATGATATAATGAAATATGTTCCATTTCTTTATCGTTGAAAAATACAATAAAAAAAAGTGTACGGATGTTTGATACGTTTTTTAAGATACAGTAAAATAAATCAGATAAAACTATTATTTCAAAATGAAACGATATACCTAATCGTTATTATTTTCTTAGACAGAAATATTATTATATTGTATAATACCTAATATTTTCTTTTATTCGACATCCAATGCTTATAAACACGATAATATAGTATTAATACAATATTAATGTCGATATAATTAAGTAGTTTCTTTAGCGGGCAATAAAGAAAAATAACTTTTGTTCACATAAACGTGTTGCTGCACCGGATACAAAATAATTAGTAATTACTACTATATGGGCACATAGTACACAAACTAAAAAGATAATGACAGAGAAAATAAACATCAACAACCTTATCGGTCATAATAATATACATTGTATTACATATACGTATATAGAATATTACATGTGTTCCATGTCTACAGACAAAGCCGAGCTGAGTGTAGAAGCTAAATAGTTGCCATTTAAATAACACAAGCAGTGACACGCCCGCCTTGAATGCTGCACGTCGTATTGAATTGATATAAGAAATCAAATCGGTAAGAACACTTGAATGAATGCTATTATATTTTTTTTAACACAATAATTCGTAACACATGTAATTAATATGTAACACAAAACTAGAAACATTGATTTAAGGTATGAAAAAATTTCATTAAAACTGTACCTACCTCTTTTCGAAACGTCATTATACATCTTGATGATTATTACTTAACAATTATTACAACAATATCGTAATGTCTATTTCCTCTATTAATTAAACTAAATCTGTCGATTAATATAATTATTTATAATTACTCGTCGATAGTTATTGAATCCTAATTACATGGTATACAATTTAGTTGGCTTACAAGTGAAATCCACTTAATCACCGTTTTAATTAGATTATTTTAGTAAATTTAAATTTAATTTCAGTGTAAAAAAAAAATAAAAATAAAAAGATTCAACTCCAAACAACTCATTAACAGCACAAGTCTGTTTAAAAAAAAAATGTTCATCTTTAAATTTGTCAAAACTTTATTCGATACGCTTTAAAGTGTAATGGACCTATAAAGGCTACATTAATTATTAAAATGTGTGTTAATAAATTTGAAAGTGAGTAGATTTAATTTAAGGTTTATTTTAAAGTCATCGTTAAGATGTTTTGTATTTTTTTACAATGCTCAATTTTTGTTTAGTTTGAAAAAGCTGCTGTTTTTTAAAGGGGCGTTGTAAAAACGTTTCCTTGGGATACAAAATGTCTAAAATATATTAGATATAGTTGGTACAAAATGGAGTCTTAGACAGGTCGACCGAGTAACAATCAATAAACTATAATTTGTTTGCATGTAGAACTTGTTAAGAAAATAATTTTGGTAGTTTTTACAGTAAACGCCGACACCAGGCCATATCTGCTATAATACTATGTAGTTAATATTGACCATTATTTTACTGAATTTCTCTTATGTAACATTGTTAGGTGTCAAATCGTTGATTTCTTTATCAAATCTTAGTACGTTACTGACTATTACTTATTTGTGTCTTAAAATAATAGAACAAATAGAAATATATTACACTAATACCTATTCTAACCTAACCTGACGATGCGCAAAATGGAAATTACACTATTTACCAACAATAACAGTATAGTAATTATTGTAATGAAACGTTATTACTTTTAACTATTGTCAAACATTTAAAATATATATATATTTTTTTTGCTAGAAAAAGATTTTAAAACTATTACCTAATATTTATATAAACGTCAAACATTTGTCTAGCTTGCCCATCAATTTTTACAATAGAATCAAATCCGTGTATTTACATTTTTAGAATTGTTTACTCAATTCAAAAGTTCATAGGCCATAATATATATATATATATATATATATCAAATGTGATACCTATTTTTTTAATCGACCGTTTTCTTTTTTACAAAACTACTATATCTATATCGGACATTTATTATTTAAGTTTTTTATTAAGACCATTGGATATTATTATGCAGTTGGCCTCATGACACTTCCTCTTCCATATATACACACATATAAAGCACAGCTAAAGCAATTACCATTCACGGCCAGATCCTATGTCAAGTCATTAATAATTGTATTTATTAACATTATATTTATACCATACCTATTGTTTTTACGATTGAGCTCGGACCTTGTGAGAAAATAAATGATGTAAAAAATTATTGTATACAAATAAATAAAAACTATGCCTAAAAAAGTTTAAAAATATATTTTTGCATTCAACTACAAAAAAAAAAAAAAAACACCTAATTACCGGACTAATAAGTACACATCACGGTTAAACCTTAAAATTAAGATCTATACCTAACTCCTTAAGAAATGTCCATGAACATTTATATTGTGCATGTATCGAGTTAGTTGTATAGTTTCATTTTAATTTAATAAACATTTTTTTTAATTGCATTATATTTTTACCTTCGATGCCTGGCTGAGTAGGTATTGTATATTATACAATGATGTGTTTTTATTTTATTTTTTACATACCTACTATGATTTCAATGGTTGTGCAATTGACAATTAATACAAATATATAGCTCTTGCCAACACACAAATCCAACTAATTATTTGTTGTACGAGTACAACTCGAGAGAACCGAACAGTTAGTGAATTATCAAAGGAATAAGATGTGCATAAGATTAAGATTTTGGCAAAAAACTACCTTGACCTAACTCCTCAATAAATAGGGCCTATGACATAGATAGGTACATGTTGCGTTGTTTTGAAATTGTTGACCTATTCTTGTATCATCTGGCTCGGTCACTGTATTTCACAACCTTTTATTTGTCTTTATGCAGCCAAAATGAGAATGATAATAACTGAAAATGCTGATAGAGTCTCGGAATGGGCGGCCAAGTATGTGACCAAGAGAATCAAAGACTTCAACCCGGGGCCCGACCGATACTTTGTCTTGGGTCTTCCTACGGGTAAGTGTATAATAACGCACTTTCTTATTTACAAGCAAACCAATTAACTTCAGACCGACTTCAGGTGGAACTCCGCTAGGGATGTACAAGTACCTGATCAAGTACTACAGGGCCGGTGAAGTTTCTTTCAAGTACGTCAAGACTTTCAACATGGACGAGTACGTTGGTGAGTTTAAGTCCCAGTATTTCTTAAGTAGTCTTTCAGAGTCTCTTCATTCCCCATAAAATATCGTTCAGTATATTGATATTAACCCTTCACTGCATGTAAGTGCATAATATATGCATTAGGTTAATTTATATTGGTATTATTTATACAATACTTACAATACTTTCTACTGTGAGCTTAAGTTTATTGATGGCTGCACTGAATAGTGAATTCGTAGATGTGTTGGACCATCTTCTGAGGTTGTCCGTCCAAGACATTTGAGGTCTTCCACAGCTCCTTCTCCCAACTATTTTACCCTGGATTATTTATTGCAATACATATCGGTGGTATTGAAGTTTTCTCGTTTTTATGGTTTTTACTACTTCAAACATTACAATAACATAATACACATCTTAAAAATATGGCCATTTGATTTTTTTTTTAATATTATATAACTACTGTCTTATGTTACTGTGTCAAGACTATTTTTTTTTTTGTTTACTATGGAAGCCCTCAAAAAGGAGAGAAATTACATTCTGACCGTTTATGTTTATTCCAACTGTTATAATAATGGCCATTTCCATTCTTCCGCATTCTAAACTCAACTAAGACAATATTATCAATTGACACCAAAAACAGTTTCGTTTTCGGTGAAATACATTTTTCACGTTTTCTGCTCAATTCGTCGTTGTGTTGATATTTTATTGACCCTGCAAATGTTTCTTATGGAAATTATAATGAATAATCCAAAAATATCACTTGAAAAATAAAGGATACATTATTGCATTATAATATAATATATTTTATTGATAATCTCACACATGTCCACTATCTGCTTAACCGCATGAATTGACAATTGTATAAATAATATATTACAATAAAATAAACTTGTTTTAAAAGACCAATCCAATTTCGTGAATTAATTATTAAGTTAATATAATACATTATTAACAAAAAAAAAAAAAACGACACTCAACAACAATCAACGGCAGTTCAAAAAACGACTCTTCTTATAAATAATGTTGTACACCGCTGGACCAGTGTTACCAGCCCTAACAAATAATATTCCATTTTTTTGGAGGGATAATTTTTATTCTGCAATCTCATACATGTAATAAAACAATACGAATATTGTAATGTTATTAATTTTTTGGACCGTGTCGTCCACGAAAGGCTTGCCCAGAAATCACCCGGAGAGCTACCACTGTTACATGATGACAAACTTCTTCACTCAAGTAGACATAGACCCGAAAAACGCACACATACTTAACGGCAATGCCGCCGACTTACAAGCCGAGTGCCAGAACTACGAACGGCTCATCGAGGAGGCCGGAGGCGTACACTTGTTCGTCGGTGGTAAGTACACACACAGACTTGAGAACTTTTTTTGCTTGATTCGACAACTTTCCGGATTTCCATATAATATGTATACATCTACCTACCACAGGCATAGGTCCGGACGGTCACATAGCGTTCAACGAACCCGGTTCTTCCCTGGTGTCCAAGACACGGGTCAAGACGTTGGCACAAGAGACTTTGGAGGCCAATGCCAGATTTTTCGACAACGACATCGACAAGGTGCCCAAACAAGCTCTGACGGTCGGCGTGGGAACCGTCATGAGCGCCCAAACGGTAAGCGCGTACATTCAGAGTCCATAAAAATACATCTTAAGCCAGATAACTTTGGCACAACTAGAGGACGCCAAGGAAGTTCGGACTTCCCTGACCTTACGGCCTGAACGAGTTTCGAAAGGAAGTTGAAAACTTCCCTAGTATTATTAGAACGAAATAAACTTGTGTGAAAAAAACAATCCAATTTTGTATATTAATTAAATATGTACGTTATAAACAAAAGTCAACAACACTCAAAGGCAGTGTTCGAAACGACTCTTGGTATAATATTAATAATGTTGTACACTGGCGGCCCTGGTCACCAGTGTTACCAACGCTAACATTGCCAGCACTAGCCTCCCCTAACCACCCTCAAGTTAAACACAGCAGGCCATTATATGACAATAGCACAGACAGCAGTTTAGACTATGATGTACAGTTTTTGTACATCTAATATTTAAAAAGTCGAGAAAGAAGTACTGTATTGACTTACTGTGTGTGGTTTTATTTTCTTCAAAATCTAGTACCAACTATACCAGCTAAAAGAAATTTAATGTGCAAAGCAATTATTAGCTCCTTCGTCCAGTAACAATAAAATTCCATTTCAACGGAAATCTAAGTTTATTACAGACAGGTCAGGCATACGAAGAACAAAATATAAACTGTCAAGGTGAAATTTTTGGGTTGGTTTTCCTTAATAAAAAGTTTGACAGCAGATTTAATTTGTAAATGTTGCAACCTCTAGATGTACTTTTGGTCTGATTTTCAGACCTTAAGCCGTAAAACTTTACTGAAAAAAAACTTCCACCCAGTTTAGGGGAAAGGATTTAAGATATTTGTTTGGCACTGCTTGTGTCTAAAGACACAGTTTTTCTCCATTTGAATCAAGAAAATGGTGAACTTTTTAGCTCAATAAATAGCATTTATAAACTATAGTTATAATAAAGACATAATGGTTTCTTGAATCATCCGGTTCCAGGTGATGATACTGATCACGGGATCTCACAAGGCGTTGGCCCTTCATAGAGAGCCCATACAATTCTTTTTCGAGTAACGTCTTGATGACTTCCGAACCTTTGGCCATGAGTTTGTCTTGTTTATTACAAACGACTAATATTTTGCTTTTGTTCGAAACAATCGTGTCGTCGGTGATCACTCTGTACAACAGGCTAGCAACGCAAAAGACAGATTAGTTGAAATTTAAATCTCAAAAATTGTATTACACTTACTCTGCTACATCGCATACCGACGTCTGCACGTTTTCCGAATCGACGACGAAAATTATCCCTTAACAGCTCGTCTTGTAAACATCCCAAAATTTACCAAACGCTCGCTCGTGTCCAGGAATATCGACGACACGCAAACATTTCTAAAAACAAAAATTATAATTGTCACAATTAAATCACGTTCTCATAAGTCCGTTTACGTTCAATTGTTAGTGTACCTTGCTGTTTTTGAATTCGCCAATGTTTTCCACCTGCGACGTGAAGGTCTGGACGGCCTTGTTGAACAGCAAGTGCGAATAGAGAGCGGTCTTGCCCGAATCGCACAAGCCGACCAGCAAAACGTCGCGGTAAGTCTTGTTACTCTTTTTCCACAAATACAACAACACTGAAATGTGATTAAATCAAAAAATATATCCACAAAATATGATACAATTTTTGGTCAATATAAATTTGCAAATTTACAATTATCTCTTGATTTGAAAATGTCCTTGTTTGTTAGAAGATTGCATAGCCCATATTTTATTAATCTATGTACTTATTCATTTAATATGGCCATTTACTTAGTGAATAGTTAAATTAATAATTTATGAATAATTACACCAGAAATCGCATAATATGACAATTGATACACATTAATGCGAGCGTATCAAATACTCATCACATAAATGTTGATCTACCCTTGGTATGGTACAAAGATCTTAATTAAATAACTGCAAAACTTCTTCAAACGATTAAACTGTTCCATCCTTTATAAATTAGGTATGGTACCCTCGTGTTTAATATATATTTTTCTGTTCTAGGAACTTGCTTTCTGTTGTAGTTAAATAATTTTTGGATTAAGTCCTGCCGTTTTACGGTGGACAATATTGACATAAAGCTTTTTTTTAATTATTTTAATTAATACTCTGATAATCAGATAGTATAAAAATCTATTAGAAATTAGAATACCTACTTAGGTATATCCATATTTCATTTAGATCTTTTAAAATTATATTTTCATAGATCCATAGATTTATAAGAATTTTTGATATTGCACATTTCCAAACATAAGTAGAATTAAATGTCTAAAGTGATGCTGTAAGATACTAGTGAAAAGTAATAAAATATTTTTGTACAAGCCTGGCAAAGACTTGGCTAATTATCTTTTACCTCGATTGCCTTTATAGAAATACAATTATTATCAATTAGATTTGTTTCTTATAGAAGTGATATTATAACTTTTCTGTTATTAATTCTGCCTACATTCCATTTATTAAGAAATGTATACTTTTCTTATATTATAAAAAAAATAGAAATAATACATATTATAAAATAAATAGATACAATTGCAAGTTGCAGCATCTCATCATATTTATTTATCTCTTATCTCGTTCTCATCGAGATCTGCTGTTAAAGCTCTTTTTGCCCACAATAAGTTTAATAAGTTATAATAAGACTGATTTAAGTATGTTAATATTTACTTAAGATTGGTGAAGTTGTGAAAATTTAAATGATATAAACGTAGCTATGGACATATTTAATGTGAAAACTAATGAGGCTATTTCCAATTCCACTAATATGTATATAATAAAATTGTCAAATCAGAAATTAAAAAAATGAATATCAAGCGGTCAGGTTAACTCTATTTTAACTAAGTGAACATTTAAAAACATTAATAATTAACATTTATAATTGTGTTAGGAATATCTTATACCCCCATAATTTTGGTTAGAAATACTAGATTAAACTAGTAGAAGATAATTCTAACTTTATACTGTTAAACAGTTGTACTTAACTAAATTGTAGTTAACAATGAAAAGTATAAAAGTTGTAGGTATTTAATTTATCATTATTTTCAGGTAAGTGCCCCAATAGTTTTAACAAATGTCTCTTCATTCCTTTACACAAAACAGGAAATAAATAATTGTTCAGTAGTTATTATCTATTATTTCAGTCGGTAATTATAATTACTAGGGCTCTAGTTATAATTACTAGACTGTAGCCATTATAAACCAATATCGTTATCACTGTCTCTATCAAAAATATTTGAAAATCATTAAATCCCAAATAATGAAGTAATATAATATTTAGTTATTAAAACATATTTACATGGTTTTACGAGTTTTTATAGTTGAATTTGAATAAAACTGAACATATGGTTTTCAATATTCAAAACTATTTTAATCTAGATAACTTTAAGTTTAGAGGTCAAAACTGTGTAGAGCTACAAAATTGTGTTTCATGAATTATGATTCATATAAGATGTAACTGCGTTACTATTAAAAATAAAATAGTTGTATACTTTGATTCATTGATAACTGACTAAAATGAAAATATCAAAAATATTGAATATGTTATAAAACTATTCAATTATTATCAAGACATTATTTATATATATCTATAGTTATTAGATAATAGCAGGTATTGTTAAGGGTTAAACTTACTAAAGCTAATTTATTATTTAAATGTTGAATCTATAATTATTTACTACATTATACTATGCATATAAATAAAGATAACGGTATCTGGACTTTATAATACAATTTATATCGAACTCATCATTGTATACTCAAAGAGAGTATTCAATATGTTAAACATCCTTCGTTTAAACGTATTATATAATATCACTTAATACAATACACAGATACAAATCACTCGTTATCGAGAGTAAACGTGTCTATGAGAACAGATTTAGAAAAAATACATTTGGTTTACTTTTACTTTATTGTGTCAAAAACTACATCTAAAAACTAATGCATTTCTAAATAATAAAATTATAAACAAATATATACTATATACTAAATACGCTTTGTTTTTTTATCACATATTAAATATTATTTAATTAAAAATTATCAAAAAAGTAAGTGGTTATTAAAACATGTTTTCAGTTGTAAAATAACACAAACAAAAATGTTTTGAAAAATAATTTTACCTAATTGAAATTATTATGAGAGAAAATTAGTCAATCACACTATATAATTAAGCTAACCAAGAAAAAACAACTTTTATTTCTAAAAAACAATATAGACTTCCTGTCTATCAGGCTACCTATAGTAACACAGTATACATTTCAGACCAATTTTATAATTTATAAAGTACAATTCATAAAGTTTGATAAGTCATTTAAATAAATAATAAATAGTAATAATAGAAATAATAAATGTAATAGTTTAAAACACATAAAATAATCTGGTAAAAAGTATAAATAGTATAAAATGATACTTAAGTAAAGATATTTTTTAACTAAAAATGTATATATTATAAACTAAACATCAAAATTTACAAATGTATAATTACTTGGTTTAGCAAAAAAAAATTGTACCGTTTTTTTTTTTTAATCTAGGTATTCAAAATTTTGACTACACAATTTTTCCTAACAACATCAACATAATTTCACAACAGTTTACAAATTTTCAATCTTTCAGTTAGGTCAAGATATTTTTACAATAAATTAATATTTTAATGTTATTAAGGTAAGTAAATATTAATAAATAAGCAAATACAGAAGCTACATTTATAATTTATTTGGTAGGCTAATAATTATGTTTGTCAAAATTGTAATAGTAATATACTGTTAGTATCGTTAAACTAAAGATACTTGTATTGACACTTAAAGTGTAAAAATATTCAAACAATAATACAAGTATTCAAAAAAAAAAAAAAAATTTTAACAATCTTAATTTTGTTTTAATGTAGTTGAAAATTAAAAATATTTAGCCAAATGAGATATCAGTGTAGTGGTCATAAATACAGTACAGTTTATATGGACGTTGAAGACAGGATAATAAATTATTCAATAAATAAACAACTGAATTACAGTTGATTAATAATAAGTTATAATGAGACTTTTTTAAATAAAATTAAACAAAATATAAAGAGATTGGAGATGATACTACGATGTTTAACAGCAGGTAAACAGAAATACTGGGTGGCGTTTATACTGTTAGTCTGATACAGAATATACTTCCAGGGGTTTTGCACAAAATCCAATTAACTTCAACAACAAATATTCAAATATAGTGTCAAAAATCCGTCATGGATTACAGTGTCCATGGAGAAATATATGATATGTCCATTTAATCTTCCTCTGGTCACATTCTAGCTGAAAAAACAACAAATGGTTAAATAATATTAATAATAATTATAATATAAAACCAATTTAAAATGAATTACTAATGTTAACGTTTGTTAATTGTGAAGTTAAAATTAAATATAACGAAAATTGATAATGACATTTTTTTATACCATTCAACTTAAATTATCTATCAATAACACTTGGAAGAGTGATTTCATGAATAGACAATATTTGTGACCGGTATATATCAAGTGGACCTAGTTTGTTATCTCATACCAATGAAACGTAAGATCTACAAGTAAATGCAATTTTTCTTGTACAAAAACTAATAATGTTAGGAAATAGTAAATTAAATTATTAAAAAGAAAGATAATTTACATTTGATTTCTTTTTTTTTTAAATACCCTATATTAGGGTGTTTTAGATTGATATTAAACTAATTTTGTATCAATATTTGTATTAATACTACAAATCTAGAATGTTTTCCTTACCTAGTCTATTTAGACAAATGATAAAACAATTATTTCTTCCAGTTAGTGTCGAAGGAGAACTGTTCAACCAGAATCTTTGACTCATCTTAAACTGAAAGATATATTATTAATAAATAAGTTAAAAGTTGAAATGTAATTATTAAAATAATAGAGATTAAATCAATTAAAACAATTTTACAAAAAATAACTCCATACCTGTTACCACACTTAATCAGACTAGAGATAGTTTCAGGAATCGAACCGCTCTAATGAATAAGCATACCGATAAGCTTTTTATGACTTCAGACAACTACCATCATACTGTAAAACATAATTTACTTGTATTAATAGTTTTATTTAAATAGGATGTAATAATATTGTCACACAAATTAGTACAATATAGTGTATGTATGAACTTTGTCGCTAGGTACTATAATTGATAAATATATTATGTAATTCATATTAAATATTGCAAGTTTATATTATGTGAAAATAAGAGTTTTGAATTATGAATTAAAAAAGAATTCTAATAAAAATAATCATTTAATATTAATAAGAAACGAAAGTAAATTTTATTTACCAATAATTATCGTTGTCGTCATATGAACTAGTTGGTTTTTTGTCATAATAAATGTATCGTAAAAATGTGTACTATTTAAGAAAATATAATATATTTTAACATGGTTATTTTTTTTATATACGTGCGCCAACGTTATCACTTTTTGTTATCACTAAATAACAATCTTGCTGATAAAAAATACTAAATTGCTTGTAATACGAATACTACAAGAATTTTAAAATGGCAGTTGATTTTAACGGCAAGCTGCCATAGGTTCCCAGAGTCATAGGTTCCCAAGCCATCTTATAGTATATTTTTTCTTATCAATAACCAGGTTCTAACCACAAGGCTGTATTTAAATATTGTGATAAAATAATTTTCATTTTTGTTATGTGATAAAAATTATAAGTAATAAAAAAAATATTATTTATTCGAATAATTTTGAATATAAATTACTATTGTGCTATCATTCTTACTTTAATTTTATTGTATAATTTCAATGTATTTAACTGTTAATGATGGACGTATCAGCTCGTGTTATTATACTAATACGTCTTTAGCCTTACCATTTAAGGCTCATATTGTATAGTGAGTAATCATAATAACTATAATTTAATAATAAAAAGTATTAAAATGTTATTGAAATTACATCAAATATGAACTCATGGGTAGGGACCCACATAAACCTTTTCTGGCTTATTATAGGAAATTCGGATGAACCGGGTAGTTGTTATCATCAATTACTTCACACCACACCCTATGCAATATGCGCTACCATACACATAAAATATGCATTGCACCTGACAGGCAATTTCGCCTGTTCTGAATTTGAAGGGATTACCGATAGTTTTTGCTCTAATGTCCAGAAAGACAAAATGCAGTTTCTACAACAGTAGAAAAAAAGAAAAAAATTACTTATACATTAAAAAATACTGTTTTTGAACCAGTTAAGGTAAAATCTTTTAATTTATTGTTAAAGACATCATCGAATGATGCTTTTTGATCAATTGAAGAATACACTTGTTAACTCCATCAAAATCACTTGAATTATGATGATTGTACAAATTTATAAGAGCTAATAAAATAAACAAGACTTCAGAGGCACACCAATGTAGTATTTTCATATAAGTCGGTAATAGTTTTCAGTTGTCATCAATATCTGTAAACAAGAATCATTAATTTAATAAGCTTTATGGAGTACAACCTTTAATTTTCTTCTAAGCAGCACTTCTACATAAGTAAGACGTCTACAACTAGGTATAAATATTTAATGAATAAAAATAATACACTTTTGGGGGTTGTTGAAAATTAAGGTGCTAAGCTTCCATAAATGTACCAATGATAATATTTATAATGTATTAAATCAAAATCTTTAACACATTGGCTATTACAAGAAGGTGAGGATAGTTACGCTCAAATATTATTTTATTATGTTTTTTTTTATGAAATAAAAGAAAAAGCTCTGGTAGTCAATGTCTTAAAAAAACATTTTCAATGTCAATAAAAGGATTTCAATATCAGTTATTATATTTTACCTCGGATCATATCATCAATGTCGTTAGGTTCTACATCACTGATATCAAAATCATCATCATCATCATCAGATCCTGAATTTATCACAATAATAATAAATAAAAATAATTACAATTAATTAACTACTAAACATCTTATTTAAATAATAATGTTAAAGATAACATACCAAAGTCCTGATTATCAATTTGTAGATCAGCGGCCTTAAAAAAAATAATTTTTTGAAGCAATTAATAATAATAGATAAAAACAGATTTTAATATTTCCCAAAAACTAAAATCTCAAATCTTATAAGTGTTATGATTAATTGTGAGACTTAGTTTGTATATATTCATCAGTGGCCTGGTAAATTTAAAATATAGGGGAAAACTTTAACTTTATCGTTTTAAACACACCACCCCTATACTTCCAATGAGAGCATCTAAAAATCACAAGGGGAATTGCCTTTAAAATCATGTTTATTGTACCACTGTTTTTCATTAGCACAATTGTTAGATGTAAAATTAACTTACATTATTTTCGTGATTCACAACCTCTGGGATGTCGTGTTCATCGTCTGTAAATAGTTCAGTTTATTATTTTAATACCTAATTTTATAAATTAAAATGCACATATACTAATATTTTTAATACACAAAGAATATTGACACTATGGTAATATGATTGATATTTTATATTATTTTAGTACTTAATTAATTATATTTTATTTATTTAAAAAAAAAATTGTTAAAAAAATACGGAAAACATAATTTAAAAAAATAATTGAAGAATTTAGGATTAAATGTTATATTTTAATTCTTTTGTAAAATGTAATGTACAATTTTATATAGTACTTTCTTACTTTGAATAGGTGCTGGCACTCCAAATTGTGGTGTTGTATGTATGCAGCGCACAAGAAATTCAAATATTGTCAGTTGACCCATACCCAACTGTCTTTGTGCTCGCAAAATTTTGTTGTTTTGTTGTTGCCATATTACAGGTTGATCCCTATGAATTTCGATTCCATCTCTTGCTCGCCTTATGTCTTTAGTAATGGCTCCAATATATGGTAATAAACGTTCTATAATATAACGTTTAATTTTATGAATTATTATCTTACTGAAATAAAGTTTATTACTTTTCTTACCAACAAAAGACCAAGGTGATGGATTTGGATGCGTGAAATGGCTCATCAAGTTCCTGTGGCTCGCTTCCAAAATATTATTTGTTCTATCAGTACGCCCATGTACTGAGAGAGTAACAGGGCCAATTTCTGAAAAGAAGAAGTATCATGAATAGGTATGTGTATAAATGAATGTCAGTGATATTTATCTATAAGTAACTATATATTTCAACTATAAATTAGTACAACAATAATAATTTATTTGCAATGGTACCATTTATCCAAAAACGCCTATAGTACATGAAAAAATCTCTAATTTTTTCTTGATGCATTTGTAATTCCTGTTTATGGCCATAGTCAGGTTCACCAATTTCAATAAAATCTACCAGTCCATTAAAATGATTGAAAATGCAGTTAAATCCATCAACAATGTCTTGGGATGGTAACAAAGGCAATGCCATTAACATGTGGACAATTTTCCAGAAGAATGGATTTGTCTTGGCTAACTCTGTCAGACCTAAGTAATAATAACAGTATTTTTAACTTATCTAAATGATTAAAAATGTATTTTTAATAATTATTAATATATAAAATATTATATGCTCATCTGGAGTATTATACAGAATTATGTATTTAACAACTAGTTTTTCCTCTTAATGCATAATTAGTTTACATAAAAGTTTATATAAATTAAATATTCAAAGTTAAATCACAAATGTAATATTTATCTAAAAATTCAATAGACACATATATATATATATATATATATATATATATATATATATCAGATTTTTATTTTCTTTAAAATAATTACCATCAGTTTGCACACGTTTCCAAACAGCTTGGCCCAAATGAAAAAAACAACCACTGTGCCTACAATTCGGGAAATGTTCTTCAAATGAGCTAATTATCGCCCTTTCAAAATCGCTCATTACAGTGTTTGGGTTCCAGGCTGGTTCCAATTGCTTTAAAAAGCTAATTATTTTATTATAAGCAGCTGTAGTCTTTCTGGACATAAGTGCAAAAACTATTGGAAATCCCGTCATAATCATAATTATAGTTCATAATTAAAGCATAAGTTGTAATATTACAGTATGTTAGTAAATAATTAATTATTATACTTACATAGCCAAAAGATTTTGCCATGATGACTAGCATCTGCTGGCACTGTTGTCCAAATAATGGAGCCGCATCAAAAGTTCCGTCAATATAAATATCAGGACTTTCCCTGAGCAATCTTAATATTTTCATGAGTAAAATATGTTAATAAACTAATATTAGCTATTTGTTTAAAACGTTTGTTATACACCCTAATATACAATACACAGGTAATTTCTAAAGTGATGGTTTTTACCTTCTGGTTTCAGGGGTAATAAATATAATTGAACAACCTTCTTCGCCATGTCCTCTTACTGTACCAGCATAAATATTTACTCCCAAGATAGCTGCTCTATCACGATATGGGCCATCTAGCTGAAGACTAAACTCTTCCATTGATTGCGGATTTTGTGGTTGACCATCTTTCCGAAATCTTGCCATTGTTCTACGAAGGCTTTCATAGCGGTTCACATTAACATCAACAAATGTTTCATTTGTGGACATCTAATATTCAATTAAATACATAAAGTATGTTTCATTTATTAGTCTACATAAGTATTATGTTACACACTTTTTAATAAAATTTAAAATCTTTTAGAAAATACAATTTAAAAAAAAAAAACAGAACAGTGAAGTTGGGGATATTTGTTTGGTTTGTCAACGTTAAACGATAAGACCACGTGTAAAGAATATTCCATACAAATTTGGAACTCATTTGACTTTTTTTCAAAAAGTTATAAAGCGCCTTAATCTTAAGTTACAAAATGTGTACACTTTTAGGGTGTTTTTACGATTTTGAAGGAAAAGAGGTGATATTAATATTTGGCCCATTAATGTACTTTTTACATGCAAAATCTTGGTTATTGGTTTAGGGATTTAAAAAATATTTTGGGTCCGGAATCAAAAATCAAAAATACATCATTGTAAAAACAATACTTTCCCAGCTCTGCATTGGCGCTAAACTTATATTTTATCAACTGTCAATAGAATAATGATTATAATTATAACTTATTGATATCAATTATATTTTATATGTTGTTTTTAACTAAATGTCAGATTATAAATTATATAAATTTAATAGAACCTGATTATAAATAACTCGCATTGGAGTTAACTCATTTTGAGCTCTTGCATTAATTTGGTTTCTAAACCGTCGTATAGGCACTTCATTATTATGTCCATGGTTATGATTTTGTACCAAAATCATAACATTTGGTGTTTCTTGGTACACTTTTCCTCTTGCTGGGCATCTATAAATTATTTAAGTAATTTCATTCATAGTACATATTGCATATCTATCAAGCATTAGTTAAAATAGAAATAAGAAGAGATCAATTTTATTCGGAAAGTTTTTCTAATAATTCAATATTAAAATTGAACTCAAAGGTATTGACTGGGTTTTCTATTAATAGACAGAGGAGTCCTTTGTATATAATTTTAAAAAAATACCTATTTATAAATGTATTATCTATAGCCATTTAACCAAAAAATCTACAAATTCATAAGAGCTGGAATTAATACCATGCTATACCTCCTGTTTATTAAGGAGTTAGGTGTAGACAATTTTTTTGCAACCTTTTTTTTTAAAGGTTAAACTGTGATGTGTAATTATTAGTTCAGTAATAAGGATTTTTTTTATGGTTTTCAGACTATCACAGCATCCTTGACAGCATCTAAATAACATAGCTACACAGAATGCATTTTATTCAGTCCAGAGTGGTTTTAGAGCAAAACCACCTATAATAAAATCAAAAGATAACAACATTTCAAAAACAATGTGATGGACTCACTCATTCTGACGTTATGCTTGTATATGTGTGTTTATTTACTATATTAATCGTATTGTAATAATCAATATTGTGTTAGTTTAATTGTTCAAAATAGTATTAACATTATTATTATTAAAAGTGTTGTCTTCCACTCTAATTTTTTTAATGTTAATGAAATAAAAAGCTATTTTTTTAATAATTAATACATTGTATATTATTTAATTTAAAAAACTTTTCATATAATTTACATTTTTGTATGACAATTAGGATTAGGCACGTTAAAAATTTAAATGAAATATATATATTAAAAAAAAAGATGGGCTCGATTTTAAAGATAATTTTAACTCTCTAATAATTTTTGTGCCTATTTACATTCTTACTATAAATACAAATACATATCTATTAAGTTTCTTAGTTACTTACTTAGTCACAGATTTATAAAGTCTACATCTATAGGTCATTGGATTACGATTTTTATGATGATTCCAATATATAAAACCTAAATCGTCTTTTTCAATAACTTCGTTTTTCCTAAGACCTGGAACTCGATTTAATTGTCTTATTTGAGCCATTATAATATTTAAAATTTTAAATAGTTGAGAAAAAAATTAGTAATAAATGTTAAGTATAAAATAATTATGTACGTTCTTTCAGCAAAAGTATAAAAACACTCTTGAAAATGAAATGGTTATTAAGTTATGAACTCGGGTATAAACTTAACCGGGTACTATCTATTTTTATAGGTAACACGTTACACATCAGAAACTCAATTAAAAAAAAAGATTATTGTCCCTTAAAATTCTAGGAACCTGTCTGGGGTCCAATAGATTAGTAAATAATGTGTATACTGTCTAGACAGCTAAGTTCAATCACAAGTATTAATAGATATTTATTTATTTATTTATTTAATAAAGTAACGCCCGCAGGGAGCAATGAGTACAGATGTAATACAGTAATAACATTAACACAATAAACATTTAACAACCTTATTAACTAACACATATATCAATCACATTAAATTTAAAGCACTTAATTTTAATTTACATATATTATCAAAGAAAAAATCAAAATTAGACAATTTATTACATATAGTTAACATTCTACATATAGGGCTATTTATTACATAATTCTTTGATTGATGCTCAATTAAAAAAGTATTATTGTGCCGATTGTTTACACTAGGCACTGTTATGCCTGGAGGCCGTGTGAGGATGGAAGAGGGTAGGCAGAACAGAATTAACAACCAAAAGTTAGTAATAACTTTTAATATGAATATTAACTATGAAACGTTTATCAACACAATGTAAAATAACAGTTAAGTATTGGACAATAGGGCACTTAATAACAGGACGTTGAGCTGTAGAATACTAGACGACGTCTGACCGATTTAGCCCTGTTCGCAGTGAGTACTTATAGTGGTCGGTTGGCCCTGGACGGTGATAGTTGGACACATAACTAGACCATTGATAGAAGTGTTCCTGGATGTCGTCATATGTAGAACGCAGAGACGTAATAGTATAATAGTACTTAAGTCTAAATAAGAAGTTATTTCAGATAAATGTCAATATAGGGATTGTTATCGCCGTATGGTTGTAACAAGTAGAATGGACGTGAAGGCTTTTGCGTTACAGCACTAAGCGAGATACTCTCTCTAAAAGTTCCGGGCTATCAACATATCCATTTAAAATTTTAAAAATAAATAGAGTATCCATATAAGACCGTATATTTTTTAACCAGACAAGGTTACAGCGATTTTCAATGTCGTCAATTGGGTGACCTTCATATTAATTTTAAGTGCTGCAAATCTTAAAAATTTTCTCTGGATTTTTTCAATTTTATCAATAAGACCGACCTGGCTAGTGTTCCACACTACCGACCCAAATTCCAGGCCAGACCGCACTAAGGCTGAATAAAGTACTGAGAGACACCCTAAGTCTTTAAATTCACTACAGTTTCGTTTAATAAACCCTAGATTGCGGTAGGCTTTAGCACACATTGAGTGGATATGTGTGTAGAAAGATAAGTCGGTAGACAGGATGACACCCAAGTCTTTAATGTTACTGACCATTTCGAGATTTGCTCTATTGACTACATACCTATTTAATATCAGGCTATATTCTCATGTAACAACTTTTTATTAAGTTTAATAAGTAGATCTTTATAAATTAAATCTATTTTTACAAAGGGTTTATATTTAAATAATTAACTGACATGGTAAAAATATGGTGATCATTTTAAAATTAAACTTATAGAAGGTCCTTGTACTTATTTTAAGAATGTATAACCTTTTTTTGGTGTGTATTTTAAGTCCGAACTCCGAACGATATTTAGGATGGAGAAATATTTCCTCTTAGGTTTTTTTTAAATGTTTATCCTTATCACTGTTGAGACTAGCGTGTTATCATTTGACACTATTATTGCAAATTTTAATATAGAAATTAAAAAAAAAATATTAAACTACCGAGAATATCACTAAAATGTAATACTTTTATAGATTTTATAAACTAAGCCGTTATGATATAATCGTTTAATATTCAAAAAGAAGGCTTGACTTGTCTTATTAATGTGATGATAAAAAAAACGTACTGGAATTAGGAATATGAATTACATATGTTAAGTCATCCCCGTACAATAAATTTGATTTATCTTAAATGACTCTTAATTAGACCTCCGTCATCGGCGATCTGTATATCCAGGATAAAAATAATA